TTTTTTTTAAAAAGGAGACTTTATTATTTTAATCCTCACAGTGCACTAAAAATACTCAAGGGCGTCTCCACCTACTATAAAGAGGAGAACGAGGGTGATCATTCTTAGGTCTACTCGTGGACACACACCTATACAGTGTGCACCTTTTTATGTTTTTTAAGATCAGAGCTGGAAACGAAGCGTTTGGGGCACTCGGAGCACTCGTACGGCTTCTCCCCCGTGTGGGTGCGCTGGTGCGTGATCAGGTTGGCTTTGACGCTGAAGCTCTTCCCACAGTAGGGGCAGCTGTACGGCTTCTCCCCGGTGTGCCTCCGCTGGTGCTGAACCAGGTGCGCCAGCTGGCTGAAGTTGTTGCCGCAGTACGAACAGTTGTATGGCTTCTCGCCCGTGTGCACCCGCTTGTGGGTCAGCAGCCGAGAGTTCGTCACGAAGCGCTTCCCACACTCCAAGCAGGGGTACGGCTTCTCCCCCGTGTGGGATTTCTTGTGGATGTTGAGGTTGCCTTTCTGGCTAAAACTCTTACCACATTCGAAGCACTGGTGCGGTTTCCCCCCGGGATCAGTTTTGTCAAGACTCGGAAAAGGAGTTTCCCAGGAGAGCCTCTTCCGGCAGGGGGTGCCTTTGGCCGGCTTTTCTCCCTTCGGCGGGGCTCCCAAGTGAGCAGAGCTGGGCTGAGGCAAACGCCTGCTCTCGGGACTTTTCCTCTTAGCCTTACACTTGCAGACCACCTCTTGGTTTTCGGGTCCTTCTTCGTCCCGTCTTAGGGCGGCGCTACGCTTGGGCAAGTCACTCTCACGCGGCCAGCCTTTTGATGGCGGCTCTCCAGCACCGGCTTTCTCCTGCGTCCCTGAGCTTGGCTTTTTAGACAACCGTTCCTCACAAGGGCTGCATCGCTGCACTTTCTCAGTCTGTACCTTCCGATTCTTAAACAAACCCAGGCTTGGACATAGGCCATTTTCAGCCACGGCCTTGGTTGTCATTGTCTTCTTACTTTTCTTCTTCTGGCCGACGGGTGCCTCTTGACAGCTCCTCTCACTTTCACCCAAACGGCGAGCCTGTTTTATACTTTTCCCTGGGTAATGCACCTGGTGGCTCCTGTGAATCTCTTCTAGCTCAGGATTGGATATCAACTTTCCTGTGATTTTTTCTAAAGGGATGCCCCACTCCATTGGCTCCGATATTCCCAGCAGAAGCGGGTTTTGCTTCTGGTTGTCCTGTGCAGACTCCTTAGGTTCTGAAAGAAGCAAGCAAACAACCCATGAACAAGCATGAAGATTCATTGGCTAGATGTTCAAACTGAACTTGCTGGACAGGTCAAAGGGCCGCCTTC